TATGAAGAGTATTTGATTCTACCATATCTGGGTCTTGAGAAGAAGATTTTTGAAATTTTAGTCAATTTGACCCTTTTTGGCCCCGCCCCTCAGGCCCCTGGGGGCTTGGACCTAAACTGGCCACTATTTTTGTTGACCTTTGTCCATGGAAGGTCCCTGCAAAATTTCATTGAAATTGGTTCAGGGGTTTTGGAGAAGAAGTTGAAAATGTAAATTGTTTACGGACGCACGACGGACGACGACGGACAAAAGGCGATCGCAATAGGTCACTTGAGACTTTGTCTCAGGTGACCTAACAAGAATAGAGAGTACTGCAGGGCAGGACAAAATACGTCTCTCACATACTTAAAATCCTTCTGATGCATTATTGTATCTAAATGTATGAAAAGAAGCAAATTTATATCCCCCGCTTGCAGGACATATTGTAGGTAAACATTATTGAGGTTAGGTTTAAACATGTGAGTATCGTGCTGTTGAGACATAATATATAGCTTGAAACTCGAAGAAAAAACAAGTTAACATTTGTTGCAGTTATTGCACAGAAACGGCAGATAATGATGTTTTCTTTATTCAAGGGGCCATAACTCCGCCAAATAAAGGTTTCATCAAACTTAACCTTAGTCTTCGTATGATGTACATACACACAAGGTTTCATCAAACATAGCCTTAGTCTTCGTATGATGTACATACACACAAGGTTTCATCAAAATTAAACGATATTTAAGCAAGTTATCTGCGGAAACTAAAATTTGAAATCAGAGCATAGTTTAGTATGCATGAATTTTGTAAGTCAAACCTAGCCTTATTTTTTGTATAATGTACATGTATATCAAGTTTCATCGAAATTGAACAATATTTAAGCGAGTTATCCTGCTGAATCTAAAGTGTGGCCAGAAGGAAGAATGCTCCCCATACCGTAATGTCCTGTCAAACATTTTTGACAGGTGTTTAAAAACAAAATAAAACAGTGTTTGTCTTACCTATATATACATTAAGGATTTAAGTAATTTTTCCCTAATTTGATCAAGAGCAAGAAATACCGTATACTTTTTTTTCTGGGAAAGTAGACTTCTAATAGGGAGTAATAATGCGATGACACACATTACCTTCTCATAGGGAATTATGAAGGTGAGGACACAAAATTATCTCTAGTAGGGACTAATAAAGCAATGACACACAAAATTATCTCTAATAGGGACTAATAAAGCGATGACACACAAAATTATCTCTAATAGGGAGTAATAAAGCGATGACACACAAAATTAACTCTAATAGGGACTAATAATGCGATGACACACAACATTACCTTCTCATAGGGAATTATGAAGGTGATGACACAAAATTATCTCTAATAGGGACTAATAAAGCAATGACACACAAAATTATCTCTAATATGGACTAATAAAAGCGATGACACAAAAAAATATCTCTAATATGGACTAATAAAAGCGATGACACATAAAATTATCTTAAAATAGGGGCTAATGAAGGCCGTGATTTACAAAAATACCTTTTCATAGGGGCTAATGAAGGCAGTGATACACACGATTCCACCATCAGCAAACAATTTGGCCACCTCAGATATACGACGAATGTTTTCCTCCCGGTCCTCAGGAGTAAAGCCTAGGTTCTTGTTGAGTCCAGTACGGATGTTGTCGCCATCGAGACTGTAGGCAGGAATACCCTGGCTTACCAAGTACTCTTCTAGAGCAAAGGAGATAGTAGTCTTTCCAGCACCAGATAGACCAGTCAACCAGATGGTGCAGCCACGGAAACCGCCCTTAGCCCCCAAAACCTTACCACGCTTGTCTCGGGACACATGGTTTGGCTGGAACACAACGTTGGTTGCCCTTTGCACCGCCTGTAATTATATAATGACAAACCTTCATGACTCTTGTAAAACTAAACATCAACTAGACAATTTCACACAATCATTAAAAACAGGAAATGGTAAATCATATTACAGCTGTTATCTGAAAATAGACTCAAATACATCTGAATTAATACACATATTTTGGTATAGACCAAGTCACACAGTCTAGTGGCAAGGTTGACTGTGTCTCGATAGAAACATAAAATACAGTATATCTATAGACATCAACAGAATCTCTAGGTAGATCAAGTCATGAAATAAACTTGTTCAGTAGGTCAATTCATGAAATAAACTTGTTCAGTAGATCAAGTTATGAAATAAACTTGTTCAGTAGGTCAATTTATGAAATAAACTTGTTCAGTAGATCAAGTCATGAAATAAACTTGTTCAGTAGATCAAGTCATGAAATAAACTTGTTCAGTAGATCAAGCATTAACAAGTACAACGGCCAAAAACTACTTCCCTGAAGCAGCTGTAATATAATTTGCTCATCAAAGATACACAGACCCATAGATGGACCTGCAAGACAAATAGATCAGTTGCTATATCCCTCAACCCCATACTTTAACTGTATACTACAGTTAAAGTATGGGGTTGAGGGATATAGCAAGTTTCTGGTGTCCCGAGACCAGGTATATTTCCCGAGGCGAAGCCGAGGGAAATAGGCATGGTGAAGGGACACCAGAAACTTGCTATATCCCTCGACCCCATACTTTAACCGTTTTATTATACCGATACACACTGCAGAGACAGTTTTAACTAGAAAATATTTGTAAACCATAAGCTGTATAGCTTCACGTCCCAACTACCCTTTTAATGGTAATGGAGCCAAATGCTTCCGAGTTCAGTAGCAAGCTCTGCCCACCTCGAGCGTCGCTTCCGAGTTCGGTAGCAAGCTCCGCCCACCTCGCACGTCGCTTCCGAGTTCGGTAACAAGCTCCGCCCACCTCTTGCCTGATTGGCTCGGCGGAAACACCCGATTGTAGGTGTGTTTTAGTTCCCAGACTAATACACAGGACGAAAACACAGTCATGCAAAAGTGGGGATATATTCGATTTAACCAATCACTTTTTTATAGAGTAAATAAAGTAGAGAAACAATAAACATCATTAAGGCATGCATAACACAAACAAAACCCGACACATTTGTCATGTTCACTGATGCGATGAACAAGGTTGAACATTAGGGGAATTAACTCCTATTAAGATACTAGAAAGATGTGTACCACAAAAAGACAAACGGATCAATTACACTTGTTTACTGATGTGATGCACAAGGGTAAACATAAGGGGAGATAACTCCCATTACCAGTGACCAAGCTGACAGTTTGTTGACAAAACTGTCCTGGGAAAGAACTTTAGTTTTCATTTTACAGAGGGTGAAGGAATGTATACATTTTTCTTGTTAAATAAGCTGACTCAGTAGTGGACACAATACTCATTATAAAGGTATATAAAACAATAGACCACAATACTCATTATAAAGGTATATAAAACAATAGACCACAATACTCATTATAAAGGTATATAAA